TCATGATATGACATAGACACGCAAAATTAAGAGGATATCTGCAATGAATCCAGAAGATCGTTCATTATTAAAACAACTTATCATCATTCAACGAGAGGAACCAGATAATGCAAGCAAAATCATTTAGTAATTTAATGAGTCATATGCAAAATTTCAAATTCAATGAGCTGCGGTAATACTTTATGGACTTACGTTTCGCTAACGTCTATATTGGACAAAGCTTGCGACACCATCTGCACCAATGTAGGATCCGACGTGTCTAACAATGATTTCATGGTTCCTGCATCACACACAGATGGCAACTTTGAGCTGATCATATTTTCACTCGGGAACGGCACGAGCTTTATATCTGGAACATGCTTAGAATGAGTTCGCTAAAGCAATTGTGTTACACCATAAAAACCCACATGAGGTATTGAAATGTGTGGCCACGAGAGTTAATGCTTGGCCGGCTTGGACTTGCTCGACTCGATCTCTCATATCATGTTGAGCCTAAATATGACAATTACAAAGCAGATATCATCAAGTCACATTTGTTATTTAGTTCAACCAACATTTGTGAACAATACTTCAAGACTGGTGTTACTGTTACTAGAGTTCTGAATACGTAGAAAAAAAATGGGAAACACTTAGAAAAAGGGAATTTTTGTCACTTTCGGTAAGATTTCAAGACTAAGACTGTTTTATTACAAGAATGGAAACTGGAAAAGCGCTTACTTGCTGCGCTTCTTGTTGCTTCCTAAGCTGTTCCTCGCGAATCTTTCTCAGTTCCTCAAGTTTTCTTCTTTCCGCCTCTTCCTGACGTCTTTTCTCCTCAGCTAATCTGGCAGCTTCTTCCTAAAAATTAGTGAATTCACATGATTCAGAGATGTGGAGGGCAAACGAAAGCTATTTAAGTATAAAGCTGCGAGTAATAGAAAAAAGAAGCTGTGAAGTAAACGGTAACTGTACCTGTTGTTTCAGCAACTCTTGCTGTTCTTTTTCGCGTTGAGCTAACAGTTCGCGCTGACGTTGCTGTTCTTCAGCTTCCTGAGACGTAA